CAGGGTGTGTGCATTTAGCTCTGGTGGCTCAGTGGGTGCATGTCAGGCTGTTACGCATAAGGTCACCAGTTCAAAACCACCAGGGACTCCTCGGAAGAAAGACTGGGCTTTCTACTCCCATGTAGAGTTACAGGCTCCGAAGCCCACAGGCCACTCAACGGCTGTCGCTTCGGCTTTGTGTGCCCTTGGCTCCTCTTTTGTTTTCATCATCATAAAATGAAGGGGCGGGACTCGGTGGTCCCATAGACCCGGTCCAATTGTAAAATCTGTGGTCCCGTGAGGCCAGGAACCACGTTCCCCTCCAGCCTCTCCGTGGGAAGTTTCTGGTGTAGGCTCTCCGAGCAACCATTCAGAATCCAGCAGGGTCGGGTAAATCCCTTCCCACCCGAACTCACTGTGGCCGGGGAGCATTTACAAGGCTACCGAAGGGGGCAATGTGTCCTGCGGGATCACAAACATGCTGTCCCAAGCTTCCAGACCCTGGTCGCCCGCCCTCCCCGCTCCAGACTGCAGTGCCCGACTGTGAGTGCGTGTGCCATCATGCCCGGCAACCATAGGATCCCATCCTCGGGCACCAGCCACTTTAGAAACGTCGCTTTGAGGTGCTTCAGGAGGGTCAGACAGCTGTGTAAATGCCCCAAACAAAAACTACCACCCAAAGAAGCTGCTCCCTCCTCCCCTCTCCCCCCACCCTAAAGCCGCTGCCACCAAAGGGAGCCCTTCTGTCTTTCCTGTGGAGCCTGACACCGTCCACACTGAACCAGTACCCTGTCTCAGAATCCCAGAGGCCCGGGCTGCCAGGGAACCTCTCCCGGCAGCCAGATTTGCTCAGCAACTGCCAGCACACTGAAAGAAAAGATGGGACAATGCTGCGCACACTGCCGAGTCTTCCACAAACAGAAGCCGTTACATAACCTCCTGGCAGCCAGCAGGTACTGATAAGGGCGGCGAAAGGGGGTGAAGACGCCAGCCGCTGACCCCAGGGCTCCTCTCACTGCTCGGAGACACGTCCTAGAAAGAGCAGGAGGAACCGGGGATCAGAAACCCGGCGTCGGGAAGGGGCATCGCCTCTACTCACGATGTTCCTGACGCCAACGGTTCCCTTCCAAGGGCCCTGACGATCCAAGCGGCAGAAAGAGAAAGGACCGTCGAGCCGGTTGCCTATGATGGATGAGTCACGGGCGAACGGGGCTGGGCAGCTACATCTGCCTTCTTCTTCCCAGTCCTCCGCCTGCCTCTGGCGTCAAGCCCTGCTAGGGCACTGTCCGCCCAGGAGCAGGAAACAAAACAAAACTCTGCCCAAGGAACTCCAGCCAAGCGCCTCCCGGTAGAGGCTAAGAGTGCGTGCCCAGGCAGTGTGGAGCCTTCCCTACAGAAGGCGAAGTCGGTGAGCTGGGAAGGAGGGGTCTTGGTACAACTTCACGCACATCTCTGCCGGGCTTCCAGCTCTGAGCGAGTGGGCGTCCCTGCAAATGGGTCTGTCCTGCGTCCCCCTCCGCACCCCTCTGTCTGCCACAAGCCCCCAGGCTTTGCGCATTCCATCTTAAGTCGAGGCAGTCTGGGACCAAGTGACGAACTTTTCCACTGATGACATGTCAGCTGCCGATCCAGCCTGCATTCAACCCCTGATTAAAGAGCGCTTTGAGCAGTTTGCCTGAAACGTCCCTTTTTTAAAAACCCCCGGAGGTATTGGACTAGATTTCCGAGGCTAGTTGGCAGCCGAGGCCTCCTCTAGCACAACGTCATAGGTTGAACCTCGAGGCTCCCAGAATGCCCTGTCCAGCCCTGATCTTTGGAGCCTTTGACTGTTAGGATTTTGAGGGAGAGATGTTGTTAGTTTGGGGTCTTGTGATGGGGAGACCATCTGGATAATCCAAGTGGACCTTGAATCCAATGACGTATTCCCTACACTAGCGAGGCACAGGGAGAGTCAGACTCGCCCAGGAGAAGACCCCCGCAGGGGAAGATGATGGGACGAGGGAAGCAGAGATTGGGTCTTGTGGCTTAAGCCAAAGAACACCAAAGTTGCTGGCAGCAGCAGAAGCTCAGAGAGAGGTGTGGAGCAGACGCTCCCTAGAGTCTCCAAGGAGCACAGTCCCACTGACACCTTGATTGGGAGTTCGGAACAGTCCAGAACTGTCCGAGTGTGTATTTCTGTTGTTTCGAACTAACCGGTTTGCCCCCATTTGTTACAGCAGCCTAGGGAAAAGAGTACGTCCTGTCTCTGCCACGTGAGGTGTGTTTAGCTACCCGAGCGGGAAAACTGCTCACGGGTGATGGGGTCCCTGGGTCCTGTTCCCCCACTTCCTAGCTCTGTCCTAACCAATCACAGCACATATATGGGTCTCAGTTTCCTCCTTTGTAGGATGGGGAAAAGAATTCCCACTCCACTGGGTCCCTCAGGTCACAGAGTGCCAAGCAGGACACCTAGTGTACCATACGGACATGTCACACATGCTGGCTCCCCCCTCCCCCCTTCTCTTCCGGCTTTGGCTCAGGCTTACCTGTGTGCACCACCATTTCAACCATCGCTTTGAGACTGAGCAACGTGGTTTCCATATCGTATCTTGTCTTTGGCTCTGCGACACCCAGAGGAACACATGGGACCGTGCCTCTTTCTAAGGGTTCCCAAGGAGTTACTTGGCTTGTAGGTGCATCAGCCAACCTGTCTCCTTCTTCACACCATCCTTTCCTCGGACATACCTCTCAGACAGATCCACCTGGACACCTCACTTGTGTCTCACACCTGGGCCAAATCTGGGCCTTCCCTCCATCTTCTGCCTCTTCCATGTTTTCCTAACATCTCATGACAGGGTTCATGCAGGTACTGCAGCAAAAATCCAGGAGTCGGCTTTGCTTTTATTTTAAATCATTTTATTAGGGGCTCATACAACTCATCACAATCCATACACACATCAATTGAGTAAAGCACATTTGTACATTCATTGCCCTCATCATTCTCAAAACATTTGCTCTCCACCTAAGCCCCTGGCATCAGCTCCTCATTTTCCCCATCCCTCCCCACTCTCCCCTCCCTCATGAACCCTTGATAATTTATAAATTATTATTTTGTCATATCTTGCCCTGTCCAATGTCTCCCTTCACCCACTTTTTGGTTGTACGCCTCCCAGGGAGGAGGTTATATGTAGATCCTTGTAATCAGTTACCCCTTTCCAACCCACCCTCCCTCCACCCTCCCAGTATCGCCACTCACACCACTGGTCCTGAAGGGATCATCCGCCCTGGATTCCCTGTTTCCGTTTCCTATCAGTACCAGTGTACATCCTCTGGTCTAACCAGATTTGTAAGGTAGAATTGGGATCATGATAGTGGAGGGTCGGGGGAAGCATTTAGGAGCTAGAAGAAAGTTGTATGTTTCATCGTTGCTACACTGCACCCTGACTGGGTCGTCTCCTCCCCACGACCCTTCTCTAAGGGGATGTCCACTTGCCTCCAGATGGGTGTTGGGTCTCCACTCTGCACTCCCCCTCATTCACAATGATACGATTTTTTGTTCTGATGATGCCTGATCCCTGATCCCTTCGGTATTACACAGGCTATGATCACACAGGCTGGTGTGCTTCTTCCATGTGGGCTTTGTTGCTTCTGAGCTAGATGGCCACTTGCTTACCTTCAAGCCTTTAAGACCCCAGATGCTATATCTTTTGGTAGCCGAGCACCATCAGCTTTCTTCACCACATTTGCTTATTCACCCACTTTGTCTTCAACGATTGTGTCGGGAAGGTGAGCATCATAGAATGCCAGTTTAATAGAACAAAGTATTCTTGCATTGAGGGAGTACTTGAGAGGAGGCCCAATGTCCATCTGCTACCTTAATACTAAACCTATAAATATATGCACATAAATCTATTTCCCCACCCTCATATATAAATATATTTACATATGTACATGTCTTTATTTAGACCTCTATAAATGCCCTTAGCCTCCTAGCTCTTTCCTCTATTTCCTTTTACTTTCCTCTTGTCCCACTATCATGCTCAGTCTTCATTTGGGTTTCAGTAATTCCTCTTGGTTACATTATCCTTGATCACGCCCTACCAGGCCTCCTACACCCTCCTCCCAACCGATTTGAATCACTTGTTGTTCCCTGTGCTGGGTTTGTTAACGCCACCACCTTTCCCCCCACTTCCCCCTCTTCCATGTCCCCCCAGAACTGTTGATCCCGTTGTTTTCTCCTCCAGACTGTTCATCCAGCCTATCTTATTTAGAGAGACCTGCGGAGAAAATAACATGCACAAAAATAAGACAGAGCAAAACCAAGCAACAATATACAACAAAACAACAACAAACCAATGACAAAAAATACACCAAGAAAGAAAAGCTTGTAGTTAGCTCAAGGACTGTTTGTTGGCCTTTAGGAGCGTTTTCCAGTCGAGTCTGTTGGGGCGCCAAGCCCTGGCCCCAAAGTCTATTTTTGGTACTCCCTGGGGACTTAGTTGCCCTGTTCCCCTTGCTGTTCTGCCTCGGTGTTTTGCCTCGGTGTGGTGGGATCAGATCGGCTGGAATTCCCTCACTGTGTTTCCAGTGGTGTCCCCTGTAGGGCTATGGGTCAGTGAGGGATGTCGTGTCTCATAGTGGTCTTCTCTGTGCATTGGCTGCTCTGAGTGGGAATATTGTCCTCAAGGCTTGGTGGCCAGGATGTGCTCCACTCTCTCTTTCTGCCCCTTCATTTGCTCCTGTGTGCTCTGATCAGACATGTCCCTCTCCCGGAGCTGCAGCTTCAGTGCTATCCACTGAAATAAATTCTTCTGGGGGGAGAACTTAATTTTTATTTTCAAAAAAACTTATTCACGCTTACAAAAGAGTTGCCAGAAGAGTGAAAAAAATATATATGTGTGTGTACATATATAAAGAATACAATGTAAATGCTTTGGAACACGGTAGTGGTGACAGTTCGCACAACGCTGTGAACATAATGAATGCCTCTGACCTGGACACTTTGAATGGGTGAAGTGGCGTGTTTCGCAGCCTTCTAAGTTAGATGTCAGCTAAGATGTCAGTCCACATGGAAGTAGCACGCCAGCTGGTGTGCTGCAAATAATAAAATCCAAACCTGGAGGAGGGAACTGTATTAGTTTAAATTCTGAGCACCCAGTTTGCAGAAGCTACGGATGATAGTGGAAGTCCAACATCCATGTGCTGCGCCCCCACATAGATTAAGCCTCTGGCGAATGCCCTCTGACCATTGACCGAGGACGTATTGAATAGCCTTGCCGTCAGACAGATAACATTGTAAACTGGATTATACTAGATGTAGTTAGGCTACAAGTAACACCTTATCATTTGAGCTTCCTTTTGATCCATTTTCAATTTATTACAAATTTTTTTCAAATCATTTTATTAGGGGCTCATACAGCTCATACACACATCAATTGTGTAAAGCACATTTGTACATTCATTGCCCTCATCATTCTCAAAACATTTGCTCTCCACCTAAGCCCCTGGCACCAGCTCCTCATCCCCCCCCTTATGAACCCTAGATAATTTATAAATCGTTATTTTTGTCACATCTTGTACTTTTTAATATTTTCTGCCTTCTTTTCAATTAAAGTTTTACTTTGTTTTCTTTTGTCATTGTTGTTATTTATATTCTTTGTCTTTGTTTTGTATGTTTTTTGTGTGTAACAAATCCAGGATAATTAACTCTATAGAGATACTAACTGGATTAATAATTCCCTAAGGGCATGCAGGGAATACTGGGGGGAGTGGGGAGCCAATGAGTGCAAGCCAGTGGAAAATCTTCAAAAGTTTATTGGGGTCATGATTGTACACTTGTAAAGATGTGAATATGATATGTGAATTTTGTGCCAATAAAACTATTAAAAATGGCATGTTTTATGTTTTACAATATAATGTATCCTCCAAAATACAACAAATTGGCAATAGACTTTTCCCCAATTCCACAAATGTAACATTAGATTTAACCATAATGCAATGATCAAGACAGAGAAATTAACACTAGAATCTGCACACCTAGTCAATGTTTCCCTCTAACGCCCGACTATGGTCCAGAATCCAACCCAAGATCAATCACAGGTTGTGTTTAGTTGTCTCCCTGGATATAATTTTTCATATTGATATCGCTCTTACCATCCACGTTCAATCCATCAAGTGCTGTCACTTCCTTCCCCCCTCCCCCAATTTCCTTAATTCCTATACTTCCTATTACCTTCACGGCTACCA